ACATGGAAGTAGCTGGTATACCTTGGCATGTGCTGGAACCTGCTGGAAGGATTGGATGGTCAGGTGACCTGCTGTGCATGGCTGTGCATGACCTCATATGACCTGATCACCTGACTCCAATGGTGAGGTGGGGGATGCAATACACTGCATCCCATGGATCCATTTCTCCTTTTGACCATTCTGTGCCAGCTGGACTGTGATATGTATGCAAATACCACTTTGACTGGCATATGCAACTACCTTTAATGCCTGTCAGGGTCTTACCCTAGACTGAACAGTGCTGGATGGACAGAGTGATGTTTTTGCACATGGGCAGCTCTATACAGCACTTACTCAAGTGCAAACTAGACAAGATAGCATGCTTCTATTAGATGAGCACCAAGACCACACCATGGCTAACTTACAGAGTGCAAGGCTTATGCTTCTGCTTATATAGACTGTACCTCAATTGATACATAGATCCGTGTAGTCTTGCACCTGAAGGGTGCTATGCCCTTGTATAGTACATTAAATACATGCATGCAAGGTATAGGATGCATGAGGCATATTGACTACAGAGCTACATAGACTGAACAAAAGACTTGCAACCCTAACCAAATAGGTATTCTACCCTGGACCTTTACTATATAAAGCACTCACAGAAACAGGACACAGGACACAGGACACAGGACACAAGACACAGGACACAGGACACAGGACACAAGACACAGGACACAGGACATGGGACATGGGACACAGGACATGGGACATGGGAAACAGGACATGGGACATGGGACATGGGACATGGGACACAGGAGATGGGACATGGGACACAGGAGATGGGACACAGGACATATCATGATGGGATATGAGAACTATGTAGCAAATAAAAGACCCTTGCACCTAGAATGATGAGTGAAGCAAGACGGGCTCCCCTAGTACCAATGGGAAGGTGTCTGTTGGGTGAGTTGTAGCTTTTATGAACATGTGGTGACCTGTCACCGCGTGTTCATAAAAGCTTCCGCCATGCAGCGAAAAAGTTGAGTTGACTTTCTCCTCGAGCTCGACGTCCATCCCTTCAGCATCCACACTTCAATCAACATCCAAATTACCATCCATAATGGCAAATTTCAACGGTCTTCCCGCCCTCGAGGCACATCTCAAGTCTCGGTCGTATGTTGATGGGTGAGTGCTGTCAATCTTAGCGTCGTCTTCTTTGCTGCTGCCCTGCACGCTTCCATCGTGTCGCATGCAGGTTCTTCTTCCATTCGAAATGATGATTTACAAGCTATGGTCCGTGTTTCTGAGCGCGATTAGACACCGCATATGCCACGACGACACCTTCAATTCCTAGCTTTCTGATCTCTTCTTGTCTACGTTCTTTCTCATTCACGTCTTATTGACCACTCATTTCCAGACACGTTCCCTCGCAAGCCGATGTTGGTGTGTTCAACTCCCTTGGAAGTGCACCCAGCCCGGCGGAGTTCCCTCATTCCGCGCGTTGGTACAAACACATCCAGTCTTACGCGTCGGAGCACGCTACTCTCCCTGGTGACAAGGCTTCCTCCAGCAAGCTCTTCTCCGCCGCTAGTGCCGTCCCCGCCAAGCCTGCGGTCAAGGAAGAGGAAGAGGAGGAAGAAATTGACCTCTTCGGATCAGATGATGAGGAGGCCGATGCCGAGGCCGAAAGAATCAAGCAGGAACGAGTGGCGGCGTACAACGCGAAGAAAGCGAACAAGCCCAAGGCAGCCGCCAAGTCCGTCGTTACGCTCGATGTCAAGCCTTGGGATGATGAGACGGACATGGTTGCGCTCGAGAGCAGCGTCAGGAGCATCGAGCAGCCTGGACTCGTCTGGGGTGCCAGTAAACTGGTTGCGATTGGGTACGGTATCAAGAAGCTCCAGATCACCCTTGTCATCGGTGCGCCCTTCCCCTTCACATGTGCTGAATATGGAGTAACCGATTTTCAGAGGATGAGCTGGTCTCTTTGGACGAGCTCCAGGAGAAGCTCGCCGAATTCGATGATTACATCCAGTCGACGGACGTCCAGGCCATGCAGAGTGGGTCCCTATTACCGTGCACACTGCCGCAGATTGCTTACTCCTTCCGTGTAGAGTTGTAAATATGGTGATGTACTGTCGCTCACTGGTGGAGGTAGATGAGGTAGATCAGAAGAAACTCCTCTAGGGATTTTGCAGAATGTACCTGTTTCGAATTGCTGTGACAACTTGGCGGTTGGCCAATAATGCGCGCAGTGTCGTTAACGTCCGAAAAAGTTTTCCAGGAGAGACCTGAATATGGTATTCGCTACTGCAGGCTGCTCATCAACAGCATGTGCATCAGAGGATTTACTACCCGGGTGTAACTTATACATGCCTTCGCGGTCATCGTCTTTGCAATTAATCACCTAGTGCGGTACCAGTCTCCTTGCTGGGCAAATTCGATAACAATGTTGGTATTACGTGAGGGCAGAGTTGAAGAGTATTCATGTGGTGATGAGCTTCGAGTCGCAGCCGCGTCCGCCGGGTATCGTTCCTTTCAACCACCATCTCCTCGTTGCACTTTCTACACAATCTATCTCGAATTGCTCAAAATTCACTCAGAGTGTGTATTAATCTTCCATTAAGCATGTAATGAAGGTCGTCCGCCGGCGTATGATGCCCGTCCCATCGTCATCTCCCAGGCTTCAGACCCACCAATCCCATCCACGACACACCTACAATGCACATCGAGCGTCGTCCTTCCTGGTCACTGACCCACGAGAGGAAGATGAGATCCGAGCTCGACTTCGAACGTTCGAGGGCGCCTATTCTCGAACTGCGATGGCGACTTTGGGATACAGCGTTCTGATTCTCAAGCTGTTCAACCGAGAATTCTATCGGAGTGCGTTCACATATCATCAGTCGAACATCTACTCATGCCGCAGTAACAGTCGGTCTGCTGTACGTCATTCTGTCCCTTCTGCTGCTTCTTGTCGAATTCCAGCGCCGTCGACACGCACGACATCAATTTGCGGACGAGGACACAACCCCTCCACCCCCGGGTTCTCGACAACATCCCGAAAATCCGCAATCGTGTCCTCAGCAACGTCGTGACGCCGGAGAAACATCTCATAGTGTTTCTGTACGCCTGCGGATTCTCTCAGGCCTACCCGAGTCGTCTGTTGCATTCAGTTCGCTGCCTGAACCAACTCGCCCCATCACTTCGAACTACCCTCCCATTCGCCGTCTATCTCTCCGTTCCGGAAGCCGCCTGAACGAGCGCAGGGAGCGCGTCTGGGGAGGGAGGGAATTCAAGACCCCCGGATGGATCGTTGTTCTCGTGACGGGCATTGTTGGCATTGTGGAGGTTACGCTGTTCGCATTCGTTTGTGCGCTGTAGGATTTGAGCGTGCTGGTGGCTGGTCAGAGGATATAAGATGTACTCGGGGGATGGGGGGTTGGCAATGGAGCCGAAGCGCGGTGTGTGTTGGCCATGCGGAGACAAGGGCGTCGGAACACGGAGCGACGTGTGAAGCATACGGCACTGTGCGTTGTTTTTTTTCCCTTCCTATAGCGGTATCTGAATTCGCTAATCTAGCTCATCAGCAATCGTGCGGAGAGCCGACCGGCCCACCTATCGACGATAGCAGTGCATCTGACAGTCAGCAACTGCGATCTTTACAACCTACGATTGGTTCATAGCACATGCCGCCCATGTTCCAACACACCGCCAAAACATACCTGTCATGGCCGAGCCCTGTGTCATACAGTGTCCCTTGTTAAACATGTGGGAAAATCGTCCAGGAGCAGTCCGCCTACGATCGTTCCGGTCTATACCATGTCTCCCACGCGCATTCAACGCGTCAGACATCCGAACCCCTTATATCTCCCAACTGCGCGACGACGGCAGTTACTGAATTGGCCAGCCGCTGATGCACACATTCCGACACCAATTGGTTGTTAGGATGCCCGGTGGCGATGACAACCTCAACTGGGAGAAACCACCCACGTTCGTTTCATTGTTTGGTGACACCCTTGCCCATGACTCACGTTTCATCCTGCATCAATCTCGTATTCAATATTGCTCATCAGAGGGTGTAGTATAAGTGTACCGAGACATGCGACTTGGAATCAACGAGCTGGCCTCACTTCTTCAATCTCTCACTACCTGTCACCCTTTACTTGTGATAAACACGTCTGTCACAATCTCACGATCTCCCTCGCCTTAATACTTGCAAGTCGTCGACTGGAACGAACGACATGCGCTTCGTACTCGCCTTTTTTATTGTGTCGATCGCATGGACACCCTTTGCATACCCCGTGCAGCTTCCAAACGATGAAGTCTCGTTGTATAACAGTGGTGACACGTGAGCACATCATCTGACATGTCAGCAGCAACTGATATTCAACTCTCCTTCATTCAGGTGGCAGGGGTACGACGAACCGCCAGGGCGTGGCGAGGGAGAGAATGTCGCCATTGTGCCTCGAGCACCCAGCCGATTTCCTAAACCCGAAGACAAGAAACCTAAAGAGCCAGCCAAGCCACGCGGGGTTGTGCATACGCCTCGACCTGGCCCCGGGCGGTTTCCCAAATCCGACAACAATACACCAGGATTCTTTCGAACCATTGCTGGCTTTTTTCGCCGTACGAAACCCGACCAAGCCAACGCATCACCTGAAAACAAGACACCTAAAGAGCCAGCCAAGCCACGCGAGGTTGTGCATACGCCTCGACCTGGCCCCGGGCGGTTTCCCAAATCCGACAACAATACACCAGGATTCTTTCGAACCATTGCTGGCTTTTTTCGCCGTACAAAACCCGACCAAGCCAACGCATCACCTGAACCGCCTCGTCCGGGAACCCGTAATGCTCTGGGAGCACATCCGCATGAATCCGACCTCCAAAGGCAAAACGCTAGACAATCCCGTAAACCCCAAGCCAACGTATCACCTGAACCGCGTCGTCCGGGAACCCGTAATGCTCAGGGAGCACATCCGCATGAATCCGACCTCCAAAGGCAAAACGCTAGACAATCCCGT